CACATATCGGTTACTTAGGCATGAGCACCCTGTGATGACAAGGCAAGAAAATGACCGCTCGTTCCCGGCCTGCTCTGTTGTAAACGAGTGTCAGCTCGATGAATATGTGCACCGCGCGTACAGCCTATTCAGCCTCTGTGAGTCGGCAGCCGTTGGAGCTCCCCCTTGGCATGAGGCACGTCACTCACTGTTTTGCGACTTGGACGCCTCAGGCGAGGCTGTCTAGACTCAAAGGCGAACACGCGATGCGCACTTCCTGGGAAGCGGTTTTGAGCGAAAGGCAGGAGATCCTCGAGCCGATGGTCGAGGTGTGTTGCGGTTGATGTCCTTGGGGCTATTGTGGCAGTTGCTGCTGCTGCTGCTGCTGCTGCTGTTGTCGTTGTTGGTGTTGTTGTTACGTCGCGTCTTCTCCTTGAGTCAAGCCCAAAACACAGATCGAAGTAATAAGCAGTGATTTCTTCAAGATCCACTTCCAATAAAGCTTCATCAGGAAGTATCACCAGGGAAAAACACCAGCGTTTCTTCCAGCTTGCCTCTGCCCGCCTAAATTCCCGCCCCCGTTTCATTGTCGCGTCTCACAATTCTTGCTTTGAAATCTGCCGATGGACAAGGCAAAAGTCTGAAAAATGAAAGCCTTCCGCCACGCCTGATCCATTCGAATAGGCAGGCATCTCAAGTACCTTCGATCAACCCATGCATGCGCTCGTAGGCTTCCCTATTCACACATGTGTGTTTCCTGAAGGGTTCGAGAAGCGATATCTCTGTTGACTTGCTCCGTCGTGCACCGGAACATCGCCCACTCTCCGGTTTTCGCCGGTTGTGCGTCTGCTAGGCTGTAATGAAATGGGCGTTGTCCATGGACCGTGCGCTCTGTGACAACGACAAGGGCTCGTGGGCGGTGCTGCATTGTCTGGAGAGCTTGGTGAGCACTCGATCCCGAAGTATCGTCGACTGAGTTTGAAGGCGATCCCATCCCCAGCAACGTCCCAAGGACAAAACCTTGAATCGATTCGATGTATTTCAAATGTCAACGTGTTTCAATGAAAGTGGCGTCGAAGACGTCCTTTTCAGCAGAAATACCCACCCACTCGCAGGTGCCATCCTTGCAAATTGTTGCCCACGGTCCGCAAAATAATGCATCAACAACAGGCGAGTCAGAGTCCAATACAGGCATCCGCCTTCTGCGCTATGCCTCCTCGGGCCAGTGTGCCCCATCAACCGCCTAGGCCAACCCGGTGGTTGCTAAATGTTGTACGTGGCGATGGTGGAGATGATATGGATGACTGCAAGTCATACATCATGGTATGAACCACTGCAATTAAGCAACCAATGCGTTCGCGAGCTGCTCCAATTTTTTTGTCATTGAAGGTTTTCCACAAACACACGAATAAAACATCGAACCAGGTATTTGCTGTCCCCGGTCGGACCGAGTCCCTCGACGCAGCTAGCATGGCAATAGAATCTGTATTGGATGGTGTGATGAGGGAATCCTTCTCCATTGAAGAGCGCACGCACAAGAGACGCATGGCAGCCCTTGCAAAGGTGATGTACACCGCGCCCAAAGTTCTGGGCAATCGTGGTATGCATGTGATGTATTGTTTGTTGAAAGGCTGGAGCAACTGCGTAGCTTTGAAACTTCTCCATGTGCGAGTTCTGCACATACATCCGGGCTGCGACTCATTGTGGGCAACACCAAACGACATCGTTTCTTTTTATTACGATGGACAAGAACCAAAATTCTTCTTGTTTCCGGCTTCCGGAGTATTCGTAGCGTACGAATGTCGAAAGTGGAATAAGTATATCCCTTGCTAGCCCCTCAAAGGAGAAGCTTGGTGGGTTCGCCCCCAACAAACTATCTCATCGTGAATCACCTCTGCCATGTATTTGTGACAGCTTCGAGCTCTAGAGGAATTCCAAGGCGGACCCGCCCTCAACAGGAGACGATCCCGCCGAGGTATATTTGCCCGTAATTTAGGCTGCTTTGCGCTCCTCGTCGGACCGTGCGTCAATCCACACGCAAGCCTAGGGCCGGAGCCAGTAAAAACTATTGATAGTTCCTCGCGAAAGCTCAGGGAAAATCTGAAATTGAGGCATGGTTACCGGTCCACGTGGAGCCTTGGTTTTCTAGGGAGAAATGAATTCGATTCTGAACGATGTTCTCTCCTCAAAAACGTGACACGACACACGTAATGGCAAGGTCAGGGTGGTACTGCAGAAGTGCGTAACTTAGGGGGCACACATTATAAGGTGCCAGACCTGAGGCACCAACATCGAATGTGGGGCGGGCGAAAAATGGGCTGTGTTACAGTCCGAAAAGACCGATAGATTAGAGCGTGTCGGGACTACCAGCTGGTTGCACGTTCTGCGGACACAACCCAATGCGCGCTACGAAAACTACCCTTCGCCCACCTGGACCTCTATACTGATTGGCGCATTCCTTTACCAGTCTCTGTGGGACCATCTGGGTTTGGTGTTGCAACGTTACCGAACAAGACTTCCGGGAAGCCGAAGAATGAAGAAATAGGGCAAGCATCCGCTACTACGGTTGAATCTGCACCAAAATCCGCTCGGGGGAAGAGGTCTGTGTCGATGGCGGTGACGGCCGTAATGGCGGGAGGGCAGATGAGCGCAGCAGTCGCTCGCGGACGGCGGCGAGGCTTCGCGGAATTCAGCGAACAGGCACAGGTGCATAGCGCAACTAGCCTTGCCCATGCCCATAGGTCCCTACCACCGAGAGCGTATTCTCGCCAGCGGGGGGGGGGGTTCCAGAGACATGGCTGTAACCAGCTTTGTTGCGGACGAGATAATCATTGAGTCGACGTCGTCAGTGACCCTCGTAGGTTTCGGCGCTGAAGGGCTGCATGCGATGCAGTCCGTGGTCCTTGTCGGAACACTCCTCAGATACATCGCACTTGGTTTCTCGCGGGATTGGTGCAAGCGACAGCGTACCGAAGAAATTCGTGGGTTTCGTTTCCCGCAAGATACGAAGGTTCATGAGAGAAAGCTGGTCGTGAACTAGAGTGTGTGTTTGACTAATCTCCATGCGCAGACTTTGTATCCCAATAGCAACGGCATACGGTTTGTGGCTATGCGGCAACATGTAACTGGTACGACAGTCGCAAGGCGAAGATTACCTCACACCAGTATCATCTGCACACACCATCGATCGATGCGTACCTCCCCAACCGCATACTCTAATTTTCCAAGAATTCCCTCGTCATTAAGGACATTAATCCCCACCTCTGTTTGCGAGAATCTTGATTCCCTAGAACAACTTGTCCTCCGATATTACGTCCCCAGCCCACTGGTTGCGCAACCTTGTTAGTTGTCGATGCGGGCGCTATCAATACAAAATCTACCGCAAAGTACAGCCCACTCTGAGAACGCCGCTTGGTGGAGGAATGTCAGTGAACATGTTAGACACTCGCCTTACCTAAAGAGTCTATCTACTGTACAGCAAACGTTTCCGCATACAATTTGGTTCGGGTCGCCCAGGCAATTGCCACCAGGTACTACGACCGCCCTCGAGATACCCTATTAACAGCCGCAAGGGCAACTGCCTCGTGGTCCCGGCTGCGAGAAGTTTGGTTCCGGACCGAGGAGAACGACATCGACGGCTTGGACGAAGCAAAGGCTTCGTCACTTGAGGTGAGGCGGAGTTAGCAAGCGCCAAGATGTGATCGACCCTGAAGATTGTAAGAGCTGTTTCGAGAACCCGTGTCATTTCATCGATAGGGAAAGTGGGTATGTCGGGCGGGGCATATTGCCCGTCGCAACCTGGGGGGAGCAAAGGGACAAGCGGACCGGTCCATCTCGAGATCAAGGAGGCGTGTCAACCTCGTCTGGCGGATTGTCGTGCGGCAGACAAGTTTTACCGGTGGATCATTTGTTCGTAAACTAGGGACAGAATCGTTGTTACACAAAGCCTCCATCACCCAGCTCCGATCCATAAAGTCATCGTCCATGGTTTGCGATCCGGGTTGTCGTCAGCGACAGCGGTTGGTGAGCAACGCGATTCTCCGTCTTCTTGGGCTATCCATCGTATGTTGGCTTCGAAACTGGCTGATTGTCAAGGCCTTCATTTTTATTTATCGCCTGGCTTGGGCAAATATCACCCAGGCATGTGTGGTGGAGACTTTGGACAAAGAGCGAGAGACATGGGAGCTGCAGGAAAACGAGCGGAGGAGCATGTTTGCGCAAGAAGAGGTCAGCACTCAAAAGACGTGCACCATACTTCGACTTTCTGAACACGGAGGACACTCTTAGAAAATGGGGCGACACAGTACGAACGCTTCGCCGTTGTCAGGATATTCCGATCTAGACGAGGTCAAAGGACCACATTAACCACAAGTTTGAGAAGCGGTCTCGGATCGCACGGATGAAGGTCGCAGGAATCAACGCTGTGTTGAGTTAGCGCACCGCAGGAATGGGCAAGTTGAGATCCAAATAGGGCATAGCAGACGTCTCACCAATGCTTTCGTTCACGTCTAGCTGCACGTTCCGCCAACGTACCCGTTGGCAGTCGCAGCGCAGGGACGACGAGGCCTTGCGTCGAGCAGCAGAAGCCGTCCCTTGCAAGACGCAGGAGGCCGGGCACCGCGCTTTCTGCGCCCTGGTCGACACCATGGAGCGACGATCCCAAGCTCTGGGTAGGCTTCGGTGGGAACTGACGGCCAGGCTCGGAGACATACAGGTCAGGTCACCTGAAACTACGTCTTGGAATTTTGACCCCGAACAGGCAAACAACATCCTAACATCCTAAGAGCTTAGCTGGTTCGTATAGACGACGGTATTCACAACCCTCAGGCATGTTTCATCAAAAGATGCATACAAGAGAATAGGCCGAACCGGACATAGGCAACGGGGCGATCTGTGTGCGCAAGAAACCGACGGTCCTTAAGCCACAAGGGAGAAACACTGGTGTTGGAGAGTCGCGCTGGTGTCCGACAACACTACAAACGTTTGATAGTTGAAGAAACGTGTGGCGAATCCACCAGAGTATGACGACCAGAGTGAGAGACGCGGCGACGGGGAAGCGTTACGTGTGCCGACTGTTGCCGTGTCGGAGCCAGGAGGAGGTGGAGTTCTTGCTGAAGGAGGCGTACCGTACCCAGGTGAAGGACCCCGCTCAAGCATTGGCATTGCTTCAAGCAACCGGAAGAGCAGGTTCTTCATTGCAACACCGACTTCCAAGCCAAAAAACGTAGTTCGCAGCAGCAGGAATGTCTCTCAGTATTGAATGGCTACAAAAGATGCTGAGGAGTGGTGCGCGACCCTCTGCGGGGTATGGCGTATTCCGTTTTCGACGCCCTCACCTCGGATAAACCGTGATCTGTATAAGGTAAAGGCTCTGCACAGCCAACCTCTCGCCCTCGCAAACGCAAGCATTCAGCTTTCGGTAGCAAAACGAGTTGAAGAGGCATTGATGAAAAACAGGTTCGAAGCAGCATGCAGCCGGGGTTGCCTTCCGTCATGCCGCTTCCCTCCTGGACTCGACACGAAAATGTTGGCCATGCGATACCTGATGCCCCCCAGCCTTCGCTTTTGTCCCCTCCGCTCCGGCAGGAAATTCGCAACCCATACCTCGTGAAAATGCACAGTGCCCACCCTCACCGCATCGCGACGTACGACGAGAGGGGCGTGCAAACAACGGGGGGGGAAGTCGTACTCATACAGGCAGAGTTCTGCGCTGGTGGCTCCCTGCAGAATCACCTCAATCTGCTGCTAGGCTCCAGCGGAGAAACGAGCACCGCAGGGCGTAGCTTCGACAGAGAGGTAGAGCGGCGGATAGTGTACACGCCCGAGGCAGAATCGATGCTCAAGGCCGAAGAGGAGGAGAAAAAGCGACAACAGGCTAGAAACGCTCCTTCTCCAACCGCCAACAAGATCGCCGGTCGCAGCGTACCCTGGCGAGAACCTCTGGGGACCGGTGGAGCAGCGCAAGGCGGCACGCTTTCTCAACGCCTGGAGGTTTGGGTCCGGCAGGTGAGCGCCAATCGCCGGGGATGCGGAGAAACATTGGAGTTGAGACAACTCAATGTAGAATGGAACTGTGTCGTCTTTGCATAGAGGCAAATCAGACGCCAAGCATTTCAGCAAACTGCGGCCGTGCACCTACTGGTCAGAGTCCGCGTTTCTGCCGCTGACGACGCTTGGAATTTGAAGGAAACGTCCATGTGCCGTGTTTTGCTCTATTAGGGCAGCGCATGGTCGCTGCGAAACGAGAACTAACGGTGGTATTCGGCCGTTGTGCTTGTCATGTGCCACTGGCAACCCATCCCAAGGAAACTTGCCAAGAGAGCACGCACTTCACGTGCGACCTTGCAAAGGCCGCAAGCCCCCACACTTTTTTGTGTTCGGTCCCTGTAGGATGCAGCTTGAAGCCAATTATCGGTTTCATCACCTACCGCTGCTACCCCTAACCGGCCCGCCGCTTGTCAGGTTGCACATGGTCTTTCTGCACTACACGCCGACGGTGGGATGCACCGCAACATCAACGCTCAAAACGTGTTTCTCGACGAGAGAGGCAGGGCGAAGCTTGGCGGCTACCAGTTCCTGAAGGTTCTTGTAATCGGGATAGACAGACGCCAACAACCGGCTAGTTTGCGTGTGTTGCAATAGGTTTGCTTCCAGCTCCGCGCCCTCTGCTCCGGTTGATTGTTGTTGGTATCAGGAAATACCATTCATCTTTTGACAAACGTACTCCGTAGCTGTAGAAAAATGCGCACGACTCATAATCACGATCCGGTCAAACTTGCACACGCTAAGACGATATGCCGTAAGCAGGGGGCGACCAGCGACTTTACCGGATCGCTTGCAATGCACGAGGGCTTCGGGTGCGCTGCCTACGCCCCACCAGAGTTCGAACTGCGTGACGAAACCTCCCCTAAGGTGTGGGATCTCAGTGGGTGTTTATTTTTCTCCCTGGCGCGAATATCAACCAACCCCATAGAGTTTGAGGGGCTTCGCATCTTTTCTTGCCCGCTCTTGGGGCTCCTCTAGTGGTGGGGCGAAAACCAGTCGAACCTTTCCGGCCTACGGTGTCCGATACGTTGATGTTTTCGCATATTCTGGGCATGTCCGGTCGATCAGGCGTTTGGTTCCCCAACTTAGCATTTTCCTGGTACACCGACATCGTTGTGATCGACCTCAGGGTGATGTGTGGTCATTAGGCTGCGCTCTGTACAAGTGGACAACAGGCAAGGAGTTTTCCTCCGTCGCTGCCAGCGCGCGCCTGCAGGATACCCTCCACCTCGTTCCGCCTAGTTACGGAGACAAGGTAAACAACGGGTTTGACCACTTTCTTTTGATCGGATGGCGGAAGATTTTCCCTGCTTCCTGAGAGCTGAAATAAGTTCTGACCTGTCGGGCAGTTGTTGCGTTCTCGGGCTCGACGATACCTTGCGGGCAGGAGCGGCCGCCGACGAGGTCGTTTGTCCCGATTCGGTATAGCTTGCGCTTCCTCGATGTCGGGGTGGCCAGTACCCACCATGCTCTCTACCGAACGCCCACGAACTGCGAGGCTCAAATTTTGTTTGTGAAATCAACGGCTTGTGCCAAGCATCCGGTTGGGCGCAAACTCTGTGTGCTTTTGATCGGCTTCGCGATTTTACAGGTCAAGACCGCGCTTTTCATGTGCTTGCAGCGTGATCCTACCGTTAGGGTGACATCCGCGGATCTCTGGAAGTTCATGGCGACGTCAGGAGACAGCACTGTTGCAAATCCTGTTCAAGTTTCTTCAGATCCACCCGTTGCACACTAGTACGATGTTCGGCATAGCGGGGTTGGTTCCACAGGGGACGTGGCCACTCGGACCTCCGCGTTGTGGTCTTGGGGAATGTGCAGCGAGTTGATGAGGTTACCTGACGATGGGGCGACCTTTGTGGCGGCAGCCGTCCAAATACCCTCTTGCATTCGGGGGGAACCTCGTGGATTTATCGTGGTTGTATGCATACGTCGGTCGCAATGTCGGTGGGAGTATCGACTGCGGCGCGTGATCGCGTAGGAGGCCTCTATAATCTGCATGAACTTGCCCAGAAGGTTGGAGCATCGCCATATCGCGGGCTGAAGCGCAGCAGGATCATCTGCGTGATGGTCAATACCATCAAGAGATACTGTCGTCCCTGGTGGGGTTAATTTATCAAACATGTAGCACGCGTTTACGCTCGCGCTCCCAAACTGCTTCGCCGACCCCTTTGACACAGCGACCACATCGATATGTTTTTCCAGGTCAACAAGACGAGCTTTGTGGCACCCCAGCCGCCAACTTTTTTCGCGGCATAAAGCATTCAACATCGTCCATAATACGCATGTTACGCGTTCATTGCGAGACAAACGACGGGGCTTGCCAGAATAGCACTCCAAGCGTGCAATACTCCTCAGGTGTCGGTACGAGGAGGATAACGAGGAATACAGTCAACGGAGTTGTCTGTGGCCCTGAGGCATCTACTCGACCTGCAGCGTAACCATGTGAGGTGGATGCTGTGTCGCTGTCGCTCGAAGTGGTCACGTAAGACACATGACTGACCCCCCCTGGCAAGGGGGGCGAGCGTTTTGGTCCTTGTCCGATGACGGCGTAATCGGAGCGGCCTCCGATTTTGGTGTCTTTGTCAGCACTTCTGTGGTTGGTAGCGGTTGGAGTCCGCTCAGCATTGGCACACCGCGAATCACAGACCATGGGAAAACGACGTGTGCCTTGCGACATGCAATCGCGAGTACTCGTACGCCTTGGTGTCGCCTTCCGATGAGTGACTCTAAACATGGTCTCCAGATCCATCGGTCACCGTGCGGCACAGGCTGTCGCAGAGCCGTACGCGCGCGCGTAACATTCCCACGAAAATGCATGCGTGAAAAAGCTACCCCCTTAGTACCCCTTGGCGGCGCTCCTAATTCGCTGCCGATAATGAGCGGTTTCACACGAGGACGTCAGAGCTGACCCAAAGGGAATGCATGCTCGAAAACCCAGACCTACGTGCCCGCACCTCGACCCGACGCTTGCATCATGGTGGCCATCACCTCAAGGTCCAGGCTGGTTCACGGGCGGCAACGACAAGCAATTGTGCGTCATGCAAGCTCGAGAACGTTTGGTTTGGGTAGCCGCCTTCACGAGAGGCCGCCTCATTCGCGCCTAGTCTTGGAGGTTGTGCGTGGCGACAGCAACGTAGCTGCCGCCCGCGTGGGGAATGTGGGCTGCGCCATCTGCACCCGCCCGGTTGAACTTCGTGTCCCCACGGCTGTGAACGATACAGGTGTTACTGTCTTTCCGGGGTTCCGTGGGACTTGACAGTAATCCCACCACGAATAAATATTATTGCTGTTCTTCCGTGTTTCCTTAACGCCTTGTGTAGACACCGTGCAGGTACAGAGCTCGCTGAGCTTGCTAACCACTCGTCGAACGCTTCTTCGATGTAATCTACGACACATCGAAAACATTTTTGTACAACTTAGAGTGCCCGTGGCTTTCATTTGAATACGACGGCAAGGTTTCCCCCATGCCTCAGGATGGCGCAAAGGAGCATCAGAACGAACAGGGCGACAATATGTCGAAAACCGTCCAGGCCTATGATCTAATGTCTCATTTTCCGCTTCAGGGAAAACAAGTGAACTTTTGTCGCCACCCGCGACTCCAAGATAACAGAAAACAACCCTGGTCTCGTTTCTATGTCTAAATCCATCGATAATATTAATGAAATTAATGAAGATCGAGGTCGAGGCCGCGGGACAGAGGATGAATCAGATGTTGGATCGTGGGAGTGGCTCTCATCACTGGTGACCAAGTCGGCAGGCGGAAGCCGGAGCTGTAGTCTGGTGGCGGAGGAAGCGCCGAGGGAGCAGTTAGACTTCTACAGCAGCTCTTCGAAATCAGCAGACACACAGCTCACATCGCTGCGGCACCAAGAAGGCATTGGACCTCGCCCAAAAACAGGTGTTTCTTACAAGCGGGCCGGCACTGCATCACCGGGACCGGTATTTGCGCGGGGAAGGGTGGCATATATCTATTGGGGGGTGTCATCTTGCGTAGAAAACGGTATGACTAGTCGCGTGCTGTTTTTCTTCGATTGATCTGTCGCAGCCGCTTTAACAAGTTCTACCCCCGCTTGCCTCTGTACCTGGAAAGCCCCGATCCGGCGTCACGGAAGAAATCCTCTGTGGTGCTTTCTGAAAGATTTGAATACGAAAAAAGGTCAGCTTCCCTACCACAACAATTCACTATAGCTACGAAGTGCGCACAAACGCTTGTCGCCAAAATGCCTAGCCCACCGGACCGACCTGCTGCGTCTTCACAATTACGAACAATGACATTATTTGAGGTGCCAGCTACCCCAAACAAAACAAACTCATCGGCGATGAGGCCGACCCGCAAGTAACAGACTACTGCGTGAATACCCCCCGAACTTTCCTCACCAACAAAAGGGGTACAAGGTATGTAACTATAAGTACAAAAATAATATATTCACGGGATGTTGCAGCTTCCCTAACCACCGCGCCTTATATCTCGGGTACATCCACACCACCCCTGGATACTTGGATCTCGTGCCTACGAAGCACATGAATATTCTTCACCCCAACGTACTGCTTCGCATCAACCTCTCCCTCGCCCTATTTGCCATCGAAACCGTCACTGCATCTCCCCAATCGTGAGACAGTAGCGAGACACATTTTCAACCACGACATCGAAGTAGAAAACTGCTATAGGAACGAATCCTTTAGCCTGCATTCCGGCGTTCCTCCCTCATCCGCAGAAACGGGGAGAAAGTGGAGTAGGGAGCCAGCACGCTGGCTATTCGAAAGCCACACTATGAATGGCTGGTACGAAAGAGACCGTCCACAACAGAGTGCGCCACCCGCACTTGCTACACACAATACGAGAACAATGACGGCGCTAACTCCGACCTCCTCGACCATATATTCCGCGTGCACAACACTCGACCACAGCTGGCTATCCTGCTCCTTGGCTATGCATTGAACGTCTACAATCAATCGCTCTTAGCTACAGCTTGTGAGACGTTCTCCTCCGCGTGCCGTTGCGATCTAAACCACGGCACCTATTACCGCGGCCTTGACACAGACAAGGCCGCCTCTCCTGCTCGCTCTTTTTACACGAAGGCACGAAGCGGTCCTCTTCCTATACAACATCCAAACGCGCACAACAGCCGTTCATGTTTAGAAATCTTTAATAAACGACTAAAACGTGATGTGCAACATGTCGCAACGGGGTTTTCCTTCAACTAGAACCCCGTGGGCAGAACAACAGTCGTGTGTCGCCGTTTTCTTCTAGAATGGGTTCTCAATTTTCTTTGAGAAGACGGTTACGCCACCCCACTCAGTAAAACGGTTTTCGTCACCCTACACGTAGCTCGTGATCTAAATAGTAGGCGACCAAGACAAAGAGCGGGGCTACACCTAGATAAGCTGTCGCCTACATCCACTCACACCCTACCGCACCACAAACAGCAAAATCACGCAAATAAAACCCCAAAACAAACCAGTGGGCGGCTTTCTTGGCTCACAGTCCGGCTATCCATCGTTGGGAAGTGCAGGTGGTCACCACCAACAAAGGGGTGGGCTCCTACGAAGCAGCGTCCTCGGCGCCAGCCACAGCACTAGAAAAGGGAAGCCATCTCGTGGCTAATGCAACCTCCTTCACGGAGGGATCAAGCTTCCACGCGATAGGCTCCACGCCGTTCAGCTCGTACACCACCCTCTCCATGAACCGGAAACTGATAGGTGGTTGGAAAGGCATGAGAGGGTGTGCAAGGAAGGGGGGGGGCATCATGCATTGCTTGCCGTCATGTTTGTGTAGAAGCCGTCAACCAAAGTGTCTCGTCTTAGTCGAGCACCTTGCTTTCCCTGCTTAACCCACGTCCTTTGTTTTTTTGCTCTTTGGGGACTTTGGTGATGTTGTTGGGGGGGGTGTTTTTCGCTTCACACACTTTAGGATGTTGCACAGCGGTAGGGGAGGGGAGGTGACAAGAGGACAACAAGGATTGCCTGCATTTTGATGCACAACTGAGGTAGGATCGATATTCCATGTGCTCGCTGATGGCATTGATCTCACACGGAAAAATGTACGGCACGGCAGAAGCTAGCAGCAGCAGCAGCAGCAGCAGCGGCGGCGGCAATAGCAAAAACAGTTACGGCACGCCTGCTGCTGCGTGTTGTACAGACCCTGCCCTGCCCAGGCCAGGTCTACATATTCCGATTTACTAATGGTCTCATAAATACATGTAGTACTTTCCAATGCTCAGGAACGCACCTGACTGCCACAAAGACCGACTATGAAGGGTACGACCAACAGATGGCGTAGGAAACAGGAATATGCGAAACAGGAATCTACGAAACTCACACTCTGAAGTGGTCGAGCGGCCCGTTGCATATCCCGGTAACGATGCAGTATTTTTCCTCGAAGGGGCTCGAGTGGTGTCGTCCGTGCTCCTTACGGCTGACGGTTACACCGAATTTTTGGAGGGCCCTCACAAGTGGGGGCGGAGACGTCATGTGCGCGAAACGATGAAATTCCTGTCCAAAAAGTCAGAAAAAACAGCCAAAACAACCAACACCAACGAAATAGGGAGGCAAGGATCAGCGCCACGACTTCCTAGAGGATTGTGCAACACGGTCAACACCTAGAGTAGGAGAAACACGGACGAGAGCACATGCAAGCGGTCGTCGACTAGACTTCAGCCCCGAATGGTACAAAGGCGAAAGTCTACCAATAACGGGAACCTGCTGCGATCAAGTCCACACTTAGCAGGAACAGAAGTGTGCTTTCGGGTCCGCCGAATGCTCTCGTGAAACCCTTGCCCTTCTCGACTCACGTTGGACATGAGCGATCCGACGAGAAAGGTGACCCCGAGGGCGACGCCCGCCGGCCCCGGGTTGACCAGGCGAAGCAGCGCCAGCAGCGGCAGCACGGCGTAGGCGATCTTGTGCACGTTGTTCTCGAACGGTCGGTAGGTTATTGTCCACGGCGAACCTGAGGCAGAGCCACCGGAATACGCAAAAAAGAGCGCCAAAAGGGTGCGGGTTTTTGTTGTTAGCATCGACCGCGCTTACCGGCTGACCGATGAACAGACTCAAGTCTCAGTGCGGCTGAAAGCAGAAAATGCTTCAAAATCTGCGTGTGTGCGTCGTTCGGGGGCGGGCACGAGGGGGGTGCACAAGCCGTGTTTATATTTGAAAATGCCGATTCGGGGGGCGAGCGGTATTTGTTATCAAATTGCTCTCGCAGCATCGGCGTTCCCGCAGGGCATCTTCGATGGTTTACCCGTGAGCAGCATGGAGGAACACCTGCCTGTACCCGTAACCGCCACTCGTTGCAAGCTACGGAATTCGCTACGGCTAACAGACGCTGTCCTTGATTGCTCCAGACTGCACCTCCTCGCACTATCACTAGCACCTATCTCCCCTCCGCGCGCGTTCAATTCACAGCGGCGGCCAGCGCTGTGCTATTCAACATATGTCGCACGAGGCCAGCTGCAAGTGTCTCCGTTCGCGCAAAACGAGCATCAGACGGAGGCGGCACCAGCATCTTTATCGTAAGGGGGGTATACAACCGCATGAGAGCTACCTGCATCATCATGACGTCCACCCCTCTGTTTTGTTTCCCACTCGCGCGATAGGTCACACGCTCTGTGTCCCACGCTCATCGACTCCCCTATTCTTGGAAAGATTGAATAAATTGAATAGATTGGATTTTGTCTCCTTCAGCGCTTTTCTAACTCTCAACACCTAATAACTACATCAAAACTGAGCGGAGGTCGGAACGGTTTTTAATGTGAAGACGACGACAACAACAACACCAACAACAAAACCAACACCGACGGCATCAACACACCGTGGTGGCCTTGAAACGCCTCGATCACCGCCCCGAAGACCGGCGTGCTGTCGTCCCCGTAGTTGTCCACCGACCAGTGGAAAACCCCGCTCACCAAATCTGCGATCGTGTACCCCACAAACGCCCCAGCCGCCGTCCACAGCGCCTCCAGGGGCGACGTTACGGTGGACAGAGCCTGCACACGAGGGTTGCGGGGGGCGAGGAGGGAGGATCAAGCGCGTGAGGGCAAGGGTGCTTGGACCAAGACAAAGCGGGGCAACAGCTGCAGTTGAGCACCCTCCGTTATGGAGGTTGTTTCCACAATAGTGCCAGGGAGAATGTGTGACCGATCATGGCAATAAGCACGTCTACAGTTTACCGCACACAACAGACACACGTGGCTTCATAAACCTGAGCTGTCAAAAAAAAAAACTGAACGAAAATTCCAGAACTCGTCACTACCACCAGTCCATGCACCAGGGCACGGACCGCGAGCTAGCGTACGAAGGGGGGGGACACACCTGCAAGAGGTAAATGGCGTTAAGGGCCAAAGACGACCACACGAGCACGATCATCTTCGGCGTGTTTCCAAGAAGGTCCCCTTCCACCACCACTTCGGGCGCCTTCCCTGGGCGGCGCGCTTGTCCTCGAGATAGCGGCTCCTCTACCACCGCAGCGGCACCGGGAGACGGGCGCAAGTCCGCATCAACGATAGCTGCAGCAGCTTCTGCTACCGTCGGCTGCTGGGCCACTGCGGCGGTGGCGGCTGTCGCCTCGAGGAACGTTGTCTTGGGATCTGTTTGCCGCAGCGAAAGAATCTTCCGTCGAAAAAAGGAACGACGGAACAAGGGGCGGGGAGGGCAGGGCATCTTTGTGGTTCGGGGTGGGGCGTATATCGCGCAGATAAAGCTCGCCGAAATGAGATGGGATGAGGAGCGTTAACATGCCGATGTGGTCCTGGTCAGTCCACCGTTGGTGATAACCCCACCAGGGAAAAAAGAAAAAAGGTATCTAGCTGTTGCTGCGTTGGTCACCTCGAAAAAATCGCAGATGGAAAAACCAACACGAGCAGACCAACAACACGCCGTAGGGAGGGGGAACTCTCCCCGTTCCCCTTTGCGTGGCGCGTTCGCTATGGACGAAGTAATTGGGATGCTCGGATGTAGAGCATGCGTCATTTTATGGGCACGTCGCACATGCACAATGGCGCAACCTAAAAAAAATGATCAGACACTTTTGATCTCCCCTGAAGCTCGCGTTTCTCGCCGTCTCGGCGGGGAACCAGTCGTAACTCTATAGCTAAAAGCGTGGGGTGAGGTTCGGAAACTTGAAGACAGTTTTACCCTCAGGTTCGCAGATAACCACCCAATGGTACAAGTGCTTGCGCCATTTGCAGGTGTAGCCTACATGCATTGACGACAGCACGGGCATACGCATGCACCACTTCAAGACACGAGGCAGTGTTGCGGTGCGGTTTCGGCTGGGGATGGATGTAGACTATTCCTTTCCCTTTCATATCCGTGCAGTACCTATCTCCGTCTTCTTGGGGCTCGCACGACAGATTCGTGAAGTTGCGCGTTGTAGTGTACCAACATATGGAGAACCCAAGAAAACAGGCAGGGGAGCAGATGCGCTGCTCCTGTGTTACAGCAAGGAGATTCTTCGAGGCACTCACAGTGCGAGGGCGGGACTGAGATCCGGATCTCCCTTACAAGTACTTTACTACTGCTGTACCTGTCTTTCTGTGTTCGTAGTTATTTTCCTTAACACTGCTGTACCTGATGACGACGGTAAACACCCATACATCGTGCACATGCAATGAAATTTTCAAAGCATCCCTCTAGCGCTCATTCAACGCTCATACAAAATAGTTAACACCATGTGCTACATCTATGGCATGCACAGCGTATGTACACGTTGTTGTAGAGATGGGAAGAGGGCACAGGGCTATAGCTGTGCAACCGGTACTCAATAGTGCGGTTTTCAACACCGCGCTCAACCCTACCTCTCTTTTGGAATTGTATGCTAGTATCTACAGCAGTAGTTATGCACTGAGTGGTGATGCCGTCATGCCCATCGAGCAACTGGCTCAGATAGCTACAGCAGTAGATGTTTCAACATTTTCTATTCATGATCGCCTGCGCTATCGTGGCTGCCTGTGTTACCATCAGCTGCGATTGCTACAACTTCGCAGCAAACATGTCTGCTGGGAGTACTCCAGCTTTTTGGCTAGAATCCAATGAATACAACGCTTGGAATAGGTTTGTCGGTTGGAAGATCCGGAAGGAATTTGTTATTCGTGTGCACGTCTATTACTTGATGGCGTGTCCACCCAGCCTTGGGACATCATAAACCTGCTGCGTGTCAGGGCACTACTGCCTGAGTGTCGCTGGACACCCACGTGTGGACACCGAGGAAGCCCACGCACTACTATTCGCTGAGCAGCAGCAGCATAGCTAGCATGGTAGACCGTCAGGTGCTACGTGGTCGTGTGAAGAGCTCGCTCGGCCGGGTACCACGGCCTGTTCTGATTTTCGAATCTCCCGAATTGCAGGCAACACAGCGCAGCACGAGTGACACAGTGGTGTCTGTCTGTCTCCCTATTGTCCATCGGATTTAGGTGATGAGCCTGCGTTGGACGCGCGATTGCATGCTGCTGTAGCTCCTTTCACAGATACACAGATGTAGGCGCTTGTCACCTAACACGTCATCCGAAGTACCACATCAGCTGTCGCAGAACACTGCGATATATCTCAATACATCTGCCGCCGTACACACGACGAGGCAAAACGTATCCATTCGCACCTCGCTGCTATCCCGCGCTGCCTCCATCACGCTAGCTCTTCTTTCGGCGTCCATCCCAGATCTCATCAGTGGCAGGCCGCCGCCGCCGCTGCTGCTGCTGCTGCTGCTGCTGCTGCTGCTGCTGCTGCTGCTGTAACGGGCCGGCGACATCGGGCCACTGATGATGGTGTGACGAACGCGAAAAGAACTACAGAGGGTGACGCTCAGGAACGAGGCCACGAAACACGCACGTGTACTCCATCGGCAGATCATGTTCTTGGTAGAGTAGAGTAGGTCCTTCCTGTGCTCTGTCAGTGCCAAGACCTCAGCGCGAGTGGCAGAGTGACGCGAGATAAAGCGGGAAAATGTGCGTGTGCCAGTGAATAATCTCGTGTGACGAGTAACGAGCGCTAGGGGGAAGCGGCATGATTTCGCACGTTCCGCGGATACGATCTGCGACGCCCCCGCGAGGAGTCATCAAGTTATGACTGCTGTGCAGGATGACGTCATGCAACGTGGAAACAGACAGAGCGAGGCGTTAAGCGCTTAATTCAGGCGTGCAGGCGTGCCCGTGAGACATGTTGCCGATCACTCGAGCATCGACAGCTCCGCAACGGCAACTCGTGCTTGCTCGGATGCGGCATGATTTCCAGCTGCTTCCCCGTTACTCGCGTTTCGGCACAGGCATCAGCCATGCTCAGGGGACGCAGTCATCAGTAGTTGTCACAGGTGCACCACCACCGGGAGAAGGAGCTGGAGCTATTGGAGACGTGGTGGTGGTGGGAGCAGGTGTTGGAGGTACGTTGACTGCTACACTTTGTGGCTCGAGACCTCGCAACATCCATTTGTGCACTGCATCGAAGGAATGCATACCAGTGGTATATTTTTTTTCTTCTTAATATCACACAACAAATCCATCTCTATCGATAGAAATACGTCTAAAGATAGATTAGCAATGAATCCATACCGTGAGCGAAAGGCTACCTATGTCTACGGTTTCCCAGAAAGCATACAACGATAACTCCCCTGAAACTATCACATCAGACACGAAACTCTCGTTGACACCAGGTACACAATCAATGCAGCAGCATCACAACCGCTTTGATACCCACGATGGCTGGGTGTCATTCCATTTTTGGACCGCCTGAACTTCCTATGCATATGACGCGACATGATCCATGAGGGTAGCATAGTTCGGCCCTGCCAGATACCCGCCCTTTCTACTGCTGCCTATCTCTTCGGATGTCGAGATACTGTAAGAATACGTTGTTAGTGTTGTTGTTGTCGTCGTCACATTAAAAACCGTTCCGATCTCTCTCTACCCAGTACCTTCGTATGTTCGTACTGATCCAACACTCGACGCGGTCGGTTCCCGTGGTCGCAGGCTAATTTACCCTAAAAAGGTACACTCAAATAAAATGGCCCCGGGGGGTCCGCAAGTGAATTGAAATCAACGACAGATATTCTGGAGTCCTCCACTCCCTCTGCGCGCTATGCGATGTAGCAACTGAGACTAGGAGTCACCATCACGGGCCGGAGAGAATGAGGTGCACCCCCTTGGTCCAATCTTGGTACTTCACAACGCAAGCAGAGACAACGCCATCTGGCACAGAAAAAGAAAAAAAAAAAGAGAAAAAGAGAAGAAAATAAAAGGAAGCATTTAGGAAAGAGAAAATGAAATAAAAAGAGCGAAGACAAAAAGGAACCAGGCCGAAAAATAACAAGAAATAAGAGACAGAAAAAGGCACACAGTGGAGAGACCACTAACGAGCAAGCAAACACGCAAACATGGCCACCAACCAGCGATACATTGTAATGGTACGTCATCACTAGTGGGGGTTGGTCCAATGGTGCAGCTTTGGGGGGGGGGGATTGGCTATAAGAAATTCAACCCGGCACGTATCGCGCCACTCGGTTCGTCTCTTCTCGTTTGCTTTCTTCCCTCGCCGTCTCGTCCGTCGCCTGCCCCCCTCCCGCCCCATTGGTTGTTGACTTGTGGTTTCGTTTGAGCGCCCGTTGTCGGCTGACGTCTTCTTCCTTCTCGTGCCAGGAGGTCATGAACCTCTCAGCTCCCTGCAGCACCGCCGCATGCCAGGGTACTCCCCCCTCCACCTTCGCGGCTTCCGTCCACTTTAACTTCGGTGCCGTGTCTTTCGGTACCGGGATTCCGAAACAACATGGATGGATCGGTTTTCGTAGATCCGTTGTCGGTCCCAAATGCCTTCAGGTCGTCGAGTACACACTTCGGCCAGTTATGTTCCTGTCCCCCCGTACGTCGCTTCTCCCCCTCTGCCAGTTCGCCGAGCATCAGTCGTTTCGGAAGTCGCCCGTCCGGCTGCCTTGCCAGTGCTCCCGCAAACAGTAGGCGTCGTTGTCGGATCGTGGCTTCGACGCTCTGGCATTCGACCCTTTTCAGCGTCTGGGTGTAAGAAAGCTGCCGGTAGGTGTCTTTCTTGCGCTTGTACCCGATAACTCGAAGGAGCAGTCGGTGGTGTATCGACCGCAGCGTCTGATAGTG